TTCAAGGCTCTTTCAGGGTTAGTAGAATGAGCCTCATCATTGTTACTGGTATTTGGCATATTGGGTAAGCCACGGGGAGTTTGCCAGACTCTGCCATGTGGGCAGCTTACATTCGGTAGCCTGCCAGTTTGTCCAAAGAAAGAATGAGATAATAATATGCTTTAAGATTTAGAGCAAGGAACTCTTAAAATAATCTTATGGTGGGATCAGTTACCAAGTAAGTTTGTTTTGTTTTGCTTTGGGGACACAGTGCTCTTCAGTCATTCCTGCCTCCAGAGACCATGCAGTGCTGGGGACCAACCCAGCTCTCCTGTCTGTGAAGCGTAGACCCCAGCCCAGCCCCAAACACATGCCATAGGAAAGTCAAGATTCCTGACCCACAGGGTCGCATCAGAGATTTCCTTTCCACTAAAACGCTCTTATTTCCACCTAAACAAGATCCTATTCCTAGCGAGGTGTTGCTCATGTAATAGCTTAACAGCACAGAAGTCCACCCTTTCCGGTGTATTTCCAGCCCTTGGGTGTTGAATTCAGGAGATCTGTTAGTCTCAGATTCTTTGCTTTCTATTTAATGATCTGGAGTGTAAGTGTGAGCCACGCACTGAGATAAATACACACTTCTCTTTTCATCTCTGTGAGAATTCCCGTTTGCCGTAAACCCATGAGAATTCTGTAATGTGTGTGCGGGTATCTTGGGTCTCACTAACGAGACATACATTCTGCCATTTCTAACGTGGGCCTCAGTCTCCGATTCCTTCTGTCAGTTTTCGGAGGCATCTGACACTCGGAACATGCTCTTCGTTCACCCACTCACCCGGGGACCAGGGAGACTCGGCTTGTTGCTGTAAGTTACGCCTCATTCAATGTGTCACCTGCCCGCATCACTGGTGCTATGGCCCAGAGCATGTGATCTAAACATGCATGACCCAGTGCCGCAAGGTGGGTTGGAGGGAATACCCAGTGGCCCTCCCAGCTTCTCCCAGGGGTGCACATTCCCTCCATCCCCAAGGCACACAGATTCGAAGCACTGAGTAGGACACGAACATCCACTGCTGTCCTGGACCCCAGACTTTAATGAGATCCCCCACTTCACACGCACCTCTGTCTCTCTCCCAATATGCATCCCACGAGCCACACTTCTGTCCCCTCTCACGTCCTTTCCAGGCTGTGGCATTGCCCAGTCTTGACTGAACGTCCGTCCCCACCCTGTGCTACCCCCCACACGTCCTTTTGTGTGTGTTTTAATTGTTGTCATTGCTTGGTAATAATTTATTCAAGAAATAGCACTTCAACCTGGGATTAGGTGTTTCAAAGAATTCTTTTTTTGGGGGGTGGGGTGGGGGTGCAACAAGTTCTTTTTTCCTTTTTTCTTTCTGTTCTCCATCTCCCAAAGTTATTAACTTGTTTCTTAAAATTCAAATGGACACAATGATACGCGGGTTCTGGCATGTACACATAGGCAAACTTTTTCTTCCTCATACTCAGTAAAATTTCACTAAACTTCTGCAAGCATCAAAGCCTGGGCCCCTCCCCCCGCAATAGTCCTGGGAGCCGTTGAGCGTGGGTTCTAGGGCAGTTGTGCACTGGCCTCTCTCTGGGTTGATTTCGGGCACAGGAAGGGAAGTCGAGGCCCCAGGGGCTGTGAGGACCCGCGGGGCCCTTGACCAGCAGTCCGTGGCCGGAGGGTCCAAGGAGACTCAGTGGGCTGGGGGTTCCCGGAGGTTCATGCCCAGCCGCAGTAGCAGCAGAGCGCGGTGGGGAGAGGATGGTGGCCCCCTGGCCAGACCCGCCCCCGGAACGGCGGGCAGAGGTCGGGCCTCTCCTCCACGGAGAATGGGATGCAGGAGAGACCCCCGACCACGGGGTCAGAAGAAGCCGAGCCGTCTAGGCTTCGCTGCATACCTTTGAGCCCGTTTCCCCACCTGGAGTGGAGGCCGACCCCCCCCAGCAGGCGTGGGGGTGCGTGGTGAGTCTCGGGCAGGGGACGCTGCAGCGGGGACAGCCCCCCCTGCCGTCACGTGCGGGCCGCCCGGGCCTCCGTTGACCCCCATCTCCTTGGCCGCGCGGAGCCGGGCGCCCACGAGGAGGAAGACGCGGAGCCCAAAGCCTGAGCCCGAAGCCACCGCCGGACGGGACCCCGCGCCGCATGCGAGGGGCCCCCGCCCGCCCCGCCCCGCTCCACTGGCCAGACGCCGAGGCCGCCGTCTAGTCCTGCCGCCGCCGCCCCCGCCGCCCGCTCCCTCGGACAGACGCCTCCGGACTCAGACCCCCGAGAAGGAGGGGGGGGGGCCGCGCCCACGCCCCAGGACTCGCGCGCCCTGCACTCCCCGCGGCCCGCCCGCTGCTGCCCCCCAGGAAAGACAGTCACATGGCCTCGGGGTGCGCCTCGCTGGGCGCCGGGGGCTGGGGTCCGCCCCGCGTCGGGGAGACGGGCGCTGGGGGTCGCCCGCCGGGAGTCGCCGGCCCTGCTCCGGCCCCCGCCAACCCACCTGGCGCCACGGAGCTCGGGCATCCGGCCGGAGGCCCCCCAGGGACCGCTGCGCGGGCAGCGCCACTTCCTGCGGCTCCGCAGCCACGGGCCGGCCCCCGAGGGGGGGCGAGCAGGGAACCCCCGGGACGCGGGGACGCGGGCCTGAGCTAGGCGCTGTTGGGTGCCGGTGGGCGGGACCCCCCGCGCCAGGCAGGGCCCGGCACCTGTGCAGTTCGCACGGTGGCCAGCAGAGGGCGCCGCGAGCCGCTCACCGGCCTGCTGGGGCTGATGGTTGGTCCCTCACTGGGCAGGACCCGGCGATGGCCAGGGGAACCCGAGGACCCCCTGAGACCGCTCCCAGGAGCTGGGGCGGGGCGGGGGGGGGGGGACATGCCCTTGCAAGGCCAGCTGGCAGTGCAGGGGAGATGACGCCAGGGCGCCCTCATCCCCCCGCCCCCAGCTTCCCGGGAGGGTCCCTCGAGGGAGCAGAGGCAGCGCTGTGCCCCGGCTCTGCTGGGGGTCTGGGGGGTCTGTACAGCCCCCGGGGAGCGCTGAGTCTCAGCGGCCTGTGCCCTGGTTCGGTGGGTGGGGCACCCTCAGCGCCCCTAGCGGGACGGTGAGAGATGAGGGGAATGGGGCCCTGGGGTCAGAGCTGGGGGCTCTTCTGCTTCCGCATGGGGGTCACAGAGACCTTGGTGACCAGGGCCCTCTGGGCTGGGGCCCACCTGCAGCCCCTGCTGTAGTCTGGGCGGGCGAATCGCGGGGGCCATCCCAGCTGCAGCAGTGCTTGGGGACCATGTGGCGCAGACCCCTGTGCTGCCTCTCTGCCCCCATGTTCTTGGTTCTTTAAAAGAAGTGTGTGGGAGCCAGAGACACTACAGCAGACAGGGCACTTGCTTGGCGTGCAGAAGACTAGGGCTCAAATCCCGGCACCCCATAAGGTCCCCCAGGGTCTGCCAGGAGTGGCCCCTGAGCATCGCCAGGCGTGGCCCCAACAGTCCCCGTCACTGACACTGTTCATCGATTTGCTCGAGCGGGCCCAGTAACGTCTCCACTGTGACAATTGTTACTGTGTTTGGCATATCGAATAGGATACGTCACGGGTAGCTTGCCAGGCTTTGCTGTGTGGGCGAGATACTCTCGGTAGCTTGCCGGGCTCTCAAGAGGCAGAGGAATCGAACTCGGGTCGCCATGTTGGCCGCTTGCAAGGCAAACACCCTTTTTTGGACCACACCCGGCAGTGCTCAGGGCTTACTCCTGGCTCTGCACTCAGGAATTACTCTTGGTGGAGCTCAGGGACCCTATGGGAAGCCGAGGATTGAACTCAGGTTGGGTCATGTGCCAGGCAAACGCACCTCGGCATTTGGGCCTCTCCCTCTGCCCCCACCCCCAAGAAAGACCTTTTCTCCCTCACAGTCAGTAAAATTTCACTAAACTTCTGCAAGCATCAAAGCCTGGGACCCGCCCCCCGCAATAGTCCTGGGAGCCGTTGAGCGTAGGTTCTAGGGCAGTTGTGCACTGGCCTCTCTCTGGGTTGATTTCTGGCACAGGAAGGGAAGTCGAGGCCCCAGGGGCCGGGAGGACCCTCAGGGCCTACAACCAGCAGTCCGTGGCCGGCGGGTCCTAGGAGGCTCAGTGGTCTGGGGTTTTTCCCACCTGGAGTGGAGGGCGCCCCCGAGCAGGCGTGGGAGTGCGGGGTGAGTCTGGGGCGGGGGCGCTGCAGCGGGGACAGCCCCCTGCCGGCACGTGGGGGACGCCCGCGCCGCCGCAGACCCCCATCTCCTAGACCGCTATTGTTGAGGTCTCAGGCTATACGAGCGTTAGCTTTTGTGGCTTCAAGGCACAGTTTGCTGAGCTCCACATCCCTGGCAGGGACCATGCAGTGTCAGGTGTGGCCTGCGTGGGCCCTGGGCTCCCTCCCGTCCACATGGTCTCCCAGTGCTGCAGGATGTGGCTGTCACAGTACCTGGACCCACCAACCTGCCTTTTCTATTTTCCTGTGACTGTGGGATCTGGTTATAGCCTAATTCGTTTTGTGTCCATTTCTCACACTAAAAATTAAGTTGGGGGAGCCGGAGTGATAGCACAGCAGGTAAGGCGCTTACCTTGGATGCAGCTGACCTGGACTCACTCCCCAGCCTTCCATGTGGTCCCGGTGCATGCCAGGAGTGATCCCTGAGTGCCAGGCCGGGAGGAAGACCCGGGCACTGCCTTGCACGTGATTCAAACATGCCCTGGGCAACCCAAAGACCCAGACTCTTAAAAATGCACTCTTGGCAGCCAGGGCTGGGGCTGGGGCACATTGTGTGTGTGTGTGTGTGTGTGTGTGTGTGCGTGCGTGTGTGTGTGTGTGTGTGTGTGTGTGGCCTTGGGTGCCGTTCCCAGCACTGCTGTGGCTGTGACTGGGGCACGCCCCGTGTATGTGTATGTGCATATGTGTGTGTGTGCGCGCGCACACAAGCACACGCACAGGTGTGCGAGGCCCTGAGTGCTGTCCCCAGTACTATCGTGACCTTCTCCCCTCCCTCAGGAAAGGCACAACGCCAAGACAGTGGGCGACATCAAGCAGATTGTCTCCCAGCTACCCCACATGCAGGCGACACGGAGCTCCCTGGCCAACCACACCTCCATCGCCGAGCTCATCAGGGACGTGACGAGTGAGTGCCCTGTCCCGGGCTCAGGCTCAGGGTGTGTCACTGGCTCCCTGCTACTTCTGGGGGGCCCCGGCTACTGTTTCACTTTTGCATTGTTCCCTGTGCCAGCCGCTGTGTCCTCACAGAAATGTTCCGAGTGTGACTGTTGGGTTCTGCGGGGTCAGGTGGTGCAGCAGGACTCTCCCAGGCTCTGGGTGGCGCCAGCACTGCTTCGCCAGACCTGGCAATACTTGCTGAGGTTGGTTTCAGTCTGATGTGGCGAGGAGCTGGAGTTGGAGCGGTACTGCAGTGCCTGGCACACAGCCGGCCCGGGTTGGATCCCGGAGTCCCATATGGTCTCCGAAGCCTGCCAGGAGTGATCCCTGAGCACCACCGGGAGTGGCCCCCAAAGTAACCAAAGTAAAATGCCCTTGGGAAATTGCTTTAATTAGTGTGAAGGGGAAGCTGCTAGGGCCCAGGCCCTGGGGCTCTGTGCCTAGGCACACCTCGGGGCACAGGCTGTCAGCCTCTCTGTTCTGGAATGTGTCTTCCTGGCGATGACTTAAACTTGGTGCTTGCTTGCTACTTTGCATGCCTTTGGGAGAAAAGAGCATTTCTCCCACTTCTGAGTTGCTCGTGTGTTAATTATGTTTCAGCGTCTGAAGACTTCTTTGATAAGTTAACCGTGGAGCAGGAGTTTATGTCTGGAATAGACACTGATCAGGTACGTGAACACTAAAACCGTTTTAGCCGATAGTTAACGAGATTGGCAAACAGAACTCGAGGTAAGAAAGGAATCGCTTTGATTCCTGTGTCTGGTCTAAATACCTGTCAGGGCAGTGCAAAATGTGCGGAAAGAGATTCTGCCAAGGGATAGGTTTCTGTTGACCGGGGGTGGTGTGTGTGTGTGTGTGTGTGTGTGTGTGTGTGTGTGTGTGCGCGCACATGTGTTCCATTGCTGTTTGCTGTCCTCAGAGAAACAAGACCCAGCCCTGAAGCCCAAGACTATTGAAGCCCATCAGGGATTATTTAAGAGCATGGATTATATGATCCCTTTTCCTGTCTGCCTGTCAATAAATCCCGCATTCTCATTTGCAGCAAGCAAGAACCCAAATTCCCCACAGTCCCTGCTACTTTACTGATGCTGCTCAGGTGTCGCTGACAAGTGGGACAGTTGCACCCGCCGCCCGTAGCCCCTGGAGCTTAGGTTGTCCAGGGAGTGTGGGCAGGAGTGTGAGCCAATCTCCAGCCTCTCCTTGATTGGGCCTCTCAGGGGCCCGGGAACGCCCAGGCCTGCAGGCCCAGACCCGGCTCTCACGCATGAATCTGCCAGGACTCTAGGTCAACAGTTACATGGAGGACTGCATCGCCCAGAAGCATCCACTCATCAAGGTGCTCAGGCTCATTTGCCTGCAGTCGGTGTGCAACAGTGGGGTCAAGCAGAAGGTTCTGGATTATTACAAAAGAGAAATTCTCCAGGTCAGTGTTTCTAAGTGACTCATTTGCCAAGGAAGAAATTTATTAAAAAGGCAGTTGGCCTTGCATGTGCCCACCTGGGCTCGATCCCCGGCACCCATATGGGTTCCCTGAGCCCCACCAGCACTGATCCCTGAGCACAGGAAGTGGGGGGGGGCGAAAGCAAACAAAACAAAGGAGACATCTGGACAATAGCACGTCAGGAGGTGTGGTTGGCCTCCTTTTCTTACTCAGTTATTTCAGTACACTGTCATCTATCTTCCTTAAGGTGGGCCCATGCATTCTGACTTTAAAGTGAAAATGTGGGGTCCAAAGAGCTAGAAAGGGGCTGGAGCAATAGCACAGCGGGTAGGGCGTTTGCCTTGCACGCAGCCGACCCTGGTTCGATTCCCAGCGTCCCATACGTTTTCCTGAGCACCGCCAGGAGTGATTCCTGAGTGCAAAGCCAGGAGTAACCCCTAAGGATCGCCGGGTGTGACCTGAAAAGCAAAACAAACAAACAAACAAACAAGAAAAACAAACAAACAAACCAAGAGCTAGAAAGGGGTCAGGCACTTGTCTTGCATGCTGCCGGCTATGACTCAAAATCAAGAGTATCAAAATGAGAATGAAAATGTTTGCTCACTCTTCGGAAGTGGGAGATCTAGCAGGCTCCCCAACTTCTCTGGCAGACATACGGCTACGAGCACATCCTGACGTTACAGAACCTGGAGAAGGCCGGGCTGCTGCGGCCCCAGCAGTGGGGCAGGAACAGCTACCCCACCATCCGGAAGACCCTGCGCCTCTGGATGGACGATGTGAATGAGCAGGTGAGCCGAGTCTTCATGCACACGCATGCACATGCACGCCATCTAATAGGCGAGCTGAGCCTCCACGCACATGCATGCGGACCAACATACACACACAGACACATACATAGACATACACACACACATTTCCCCAGTGGTGTGGCATCCTGCTGGTGGGAAGGCGCTGCCCTTGCAGAAGCCAGGACTGAGAGGGGCTTTTGGGGGGATGCTCTTTGAAAATGGGGGCTGGGGGGTGGGAAGCGGGGCCCTTGTCCACTTAGGCCTCAGGGCGGGGGAGGCTGGTCTGCACTCAAGGAAGCCTCTGGTCAGGGAAAAGGCCAGCCTCAAGTAAGAGGATTGGGGACCAACACAACTGACTCACTGTGGGCAGTTTGGGCTGCTGGACTCAGAGTCACTGTGAGAGAGGGGGGGTTTAAGACTGGGGGTGACTGTGATGCTGGGGGCTGTCACTCTCACCCTTGGGAGATTTGGGCTTGGCTGTGCCCTGGGGCCTCGCCCCCTGGAAGAATGCCTGAGAGTAGCTTGGCTGGGTTTACAGCTCTCGACATTCCCTCCCCCCAGTGGGCCAAGTTTCTATCGGAGAAGTTTCTCACCAAATCGATGAACACTTTTTCTTCTGTGGGGGTCGGATGGAATCTTTCCCGGGCAGACAGTTGAATTTTCAGACCCAGCGGTGCTGGGATTTGGCCACGCACCTGCCCTCTGCACGTGCTGCCGGGCACTGGCACCTTCCAGCACACAGGGGCACCAAGCAGCTTTCTGAGATTGGTTTGAGACAGGACTCAGGGCCAGGAGAGGTGAGGGCAGAGCCATGCGTCAGCTCTGCACCACCAGGTCTGATCCATAAAGCTGTAGGGGCGGGGGTGGGGGGGAGAGAGAGAGAGAGAAGGATAGAAGAGAGAGATTGGGGAATTGGGTAGAGGGTGGAGATAGCAGGGCTGAGCAGTCTAGGCTGGAGCACACTGTGTTCCTCCCCAAAGTCAAATCCAGGATGGCAGCGTGGAGGACGTTTGCCTTTAATGCGGCCAACCCAGGTTGTGATCCCTGAGTGCTGCACCAGGAGGGAGCCCTGAGCACCGCAGGGTATGGCCTCCGCCGAAACAAACAAACAAAAAGAGATCCCATCGCCCATTGGGCAGAGAGGAGTTGGTTGACTCCAGGTGTCGCTCTCGAATCCTCCGCAGAACCCCACGGACATCTCGGCTGTGCCTCCCTCAGCATGCGGCTGGCCCAGCTGCTCTCCCGGCCTGGTTGGCGCAGAATCGAGTAATTTCTGCACATCCTCCCGTGTCCCCACTTCGAGGAGCGGCAGCCGCTGCCCAGGTGCCTGCAGAAGAAACGTAGGTTTGTGAGTGATTTTGTTTTCGTGAACCGCCTTTCCCCTTGATTGAGTCTTGGCAAGACCTGAAGACTCTTTTTCTACATTCTCATTTTTAGAAATAAAATTGCTTACATTTTTCATTCAAACTCTTGAGGTTCTGCAGTGTGACCTCAGGGCTGGGTGCAGGGTGTGCGGGAAATTCTGTTTGTCCCACACGCCCGTCCCAGCCCGTTTCCTACTGGTTATTTTCAGCACATATTTATTTGTTTGCTTTGCTTTGGTTTTTGCTTGGGGCTTCACCTGGTGAGGCTCAGGGATTACTCTTGGTGGTCCTCAGGGGTCCATATTTGACTCTTTGATGCCTGGGAAGCACCTTCGCACTGAACTATCTGTCGGGTCCCCGGGACATTTTCTTTTTTAAATGTTGTCTTTTTCTGAAAGGTGGATTTTTGTTTACAGATATGATTTTATATGTTTTGTTTACTATCTTTATGACAGGGAGCACTTCTGAAAAATTTCTCTTTCGAAGTGTCAGCTTGGCTCTTAGGGGCGCCCGGGCCAGAACTCTGACTCTATCTTCTGTGCGGTGAGGTTTCTCCATGCTTAGTCCCTTAAAAGTATCTGTAGACCCAAAAGCATTGATTTATGTGAGTTTTCAACCAGATGTTTTTCCTGTGGCATATTCTTCACTGGAAATAGGGAAAATTGGGCATGGCTGGAGTTCTGACAGGCCAAGTGAGACCCCCCACCCCCAAGTGGGTAACCCCCACCTAGAGTGTGCGACCCTCGGCCTCGGCGAGAAAGGGAGGGAAAGGGAAAATAAATACTGGAATGAAGGGGAAGATGCAAGGGGGAAACACATTGGCTTGATAATGTCTTCTAAAAACAGCGCCCCAGGGCCAGAGAGATAGTAAGGTGGGTAGGGCACTTGCCTTGCCCCTGGCAGACCCGGGTTCGTTCCCAAGCACCCCATACGGTCCCCCAAGCCCCACCAAGTGTCACCCCCAGTGCCAAGCCAGGGAGTCAGCCTGAACCCGTGCATTTCCCCAACGCTTCCGGTGCCTGTCTGCGCCCTCTGCGCCCTCTACCATTGGAAGCTTGTGCAGGTGTGTTTGAGATGTGACCGCGTTTCCCTGCATTCCTTGGGCATCTGAGTTGATTTGTGGTACTGCTGCTGCTGATATCAAGACACGACCTTTCTAGAATGCAGGTGCATCACCAGATTTCCGGGCACTCTTTCCCCTCAGCATGTTGGTCTCAGCAGCACCTTAAGAGAATGAACCCAGGCCTCGCTGTGCCATCGGCCCCTGTGATTAGCGTAAACAATTTTTTTCAATACGGAATTATGTGCTGGAGCGTGCGATAGCACAGCGGGTAGGGCGTTCGCCTTACAAGCGGCCAACATGGCCGACCCGAGTTCGATTCCTCCGCCCCTCTCGGAGAGCCCGGCAAGCTACCGAGAGTATTCGATATGCCAGACACAGTAACAACAAAGTCTCCAATGGAGACGTTACTGGGCCCGCTCGAGCAAATCGACGATCAACGGGAGGGCCTTTACCTTTACCTTTACGGAATTATGGCTGGAGCGATATTACAGTGGCAGGGCGTTTGCGTTGCACGCAGCCAACATGGCCGACCCGAGTTCGATTCCTCTGCCCCTCTCGGAGAGCTCGGCAAGCTACCAAGCGTATCTCGCCCGCCCGGCAGAGCCTGGCAAGCTCCCCGTGACGTATTCGATATGCCAAACTCAGTAAAAACAAAGTCTCCAATGGAGACGTTACTGTGCCCGCTCGAGCAATGGACGAACAATGGGAGGGCCTTTACTTTTTTCACTTTACTTACGGAATTCTGGGTGGTGTGGAGATAGCTTAGAGGGCTATAGCCCCAGCATCACCTGGGGAGCCCCGGGTTCAGGACAGGAGGGACCCACACACCACCAGTTATGACCCTAGTAGCTGTTAAAGAGGAATTGCAAGGGCTGGAGCTATATACATTCGGAGGGCATTTGCCTTGCACGCAGCTGACCCAGGTTCAATCCCCGGCATCCCATATGGTCCCCGAAGCACTACCAGAATAATTCCTGAGTTCAGAGCCAGGGTTATCCCCTAAGCCTCGCCGAGTGGGAGTTGTTAGAGGTGTCTCTGTAGTAATACGCCGTTTTTCAAAATGAATGTTTTGTTTGGGTGTTCGGGGCTGGGCAGGGCCGGGCAGGAGCCGGCTTAGCTGTCCACAGGCAGACACATTTCCCGCTCTGAACAGTCACCTGGGCCCCTGAGCAGTTCGAAAGATGCCCCCTAATGCTTTCCTTCCCCTGAATCATCCTCTCTACTCTGCTCCAATGCAGAGTTTCTGGTCCTTTTCTGAGGACTCTTTGGACATCCTGACCAGGG